TTTAGACGTCCACACACAAGGAAAAAAAGTTTCAATAGCGTGGTTTCCTTTTAGTTCTTACGTTTCATAAAAGCCAAATAAACAATTATTGAATGCAATTACCTTCACGTATAAGACTGTGTCCTTCATGTATAAGACACAGATAAACTTTTTTGAGACCAAATTTAGGAAAAAAAGTGCGTCTTATATGCTGTCAAATATGGTATATACAAATTCAAAATTTAAACACACTTAATATTTATATATTGATTTCATCTCTTTAAAAATATCAAAATCTATGAAATAGGTTTAATGCCAGAATTTTGTCAAGAAGTATGTAATTTTTGCAATGTTTTAAAGTTTATTTGAAATAATATAAAAAAATTTTTGCAAGTAATGCATGCATAAAAAGCCATATGGTTTTAATTTAATATTATATTGATTTGCATAGGTTCATTTTATAAAACAGGAATTTAGTATTAATTATGCCCATGAAATCAAGTTCTTGAATTATATATGCATAAAATAGATATTTGTATGTTAAAGGTGTCTGTAACTAACTAACCAAAGTATCAAAACCACGTGTGTAATAATATGTAAATCCTTCTCTTTTCACCAGAATAGCTTTTACTTGCTGAAACAGGTTCATCAAAATTTTGATAGATGCTTATGCTGTTCGGTATTATGAAGGGAGGTTCTTCAGTTCCAGTAAGTTTTGTGATTAATGTGTAATGCTATTTACAACTGTTTTTAACCCAAAGGGTGTTAGCCCGTGAGGGCTATTAATTTCGTTTTGTCATTTTGCGTTGATTCACTGTAAATGTCGTTTCTCTTTTCAAATTGTTGTCACCAAATATTATCGCCCTGTTTTACATTTAAAGAAATTAAATAATGAAGAATCTGCATAAGTGTATGTATGTTTCTCGCATTGTGATAAACAATGGTATCTAGAGCCATCAAATTTTGATAACGTAATTCTTTCACTGAATATTGGCATGTGGAAGCCCTAATTTGGAATTTATTTTATTGTTGATTTCAGATTTTGTAGTACTTTAACGAATTTTTTATTAACAAACTTGATGATTTCAAAGCAAGCAATGGCAACACTACAAAAAAAAAAAAAAAAAAAAAAAAAAAAAAGCATTCTTATCTTCAGCGTGCAAGACTGTGTATAAAAAATTCTAAAGATATGCTTATTTTAAAATTATTTTGCAATATTGCTGTTGATTTGAATTTTATGGTTTAAGCACAGAGAACATGATATTTAATAAATAAAGGTAACATACAAAATGTTAAAGAAGTCCCTTGGGTGTAATGTAGAATCTAAAAGCTTTCAGATTTTTTAAAATCTTTTTTCACCTCTGAGACTAAGACTGGATTCGTGTCCAGTGGATCTGGATACTATAACAATGAAAGAAAATCATTTTCGTATTCTGTAGTGCCCTACAAATATTTGAATGGCTAAGGCTGCTAAATACTAGTAATTCAACCTAGGTTTTAAGGTTTGTATGGTGTTCAAACACTGAGTTTGAAATTACGGTTTGAATCATCACCCCTGGAAGAACAAGTCCTCTCTTCTGCTACTGGCAGGATTTATGAGTAATTTCTTTGGTGATTACTGATAATCTGCTGAAGAATGGTTTCTACCTGTTGTGTTGTGCACCTAATTTCACAGAAAATTACGCAAATATTGAAAAATTAGACTTGCCTTCATGTCTAAAAAGGGATTTTGTGTGCTAAACAGAGTTTCATCCGACGAATTTCAATGCATCAAAACATTCTAAGGTACGTAAAATCTAAAATTACTAAATTTCTGTAATGTTTTGAATTCAATAAAATCTGAAATGAATTATGTGCTAACAAATAAGATCACAGTTAGTCATCAATGTTATGTAATGTAAGTTTTATTTAAATCTGTAGAGAAATATATTATTAGTTAAAGTATAACATTTTGGTTAATAATATATAAGAAGGAACTCATAAATATTTCATGAATACTTGTAGCCTTTTCATAATATCAGGATAATTATATATCCTGATATACTATCAATAGCAGGATAGTATATATATATATATATCGTTGAATTCAACTATATATCATTTTCCAGTTCCATAAATTTATTCCTGAATGGAAACCTTAAGGTCTTGCATGAAAACTGCATTTTCATTTCACATGATCGGTTTGTGAGATTTTCTTGTAAATCTGTAGTGGTAGTCGATTTTTTTTTTTTTTTTTTTTTTTTTTTTTTAAATTTGGGGGAAATATTGCCTTGAACCAGATGTTCAAAGAGTAATCAAGAATTTTGATGAGAAAAAAGAAACTTCTATAAAAAAAAATTTGGTTCATCCGAGGTTTCGAAAGGATGCTTTACCTTCACAACTGCCTGACTGCCTAAAGTATTTTTTAAGTAAATCTTCAGCTTTTAGAGAAAGTGCTGATGAGAGTAGACACAGAATTGATAGAAATAATGTAGAGTTTGCACTTTTCTTACTAGTTAAACCAGTGAAAGAGTTTATGATAAAAAAAGTTAGTTTTACACATTTTCAATTTCTGTTGAGCATGAAACATAAACTTCCTAATACTTGGGCAATTATTTTCAAAGAAGATAACGTCGCTTTTATTTTTTAGTGATACTTACTTTGTATCAAAAACTTCTGTAGTATTATAGCAGAAAATCCAAAGTGTAATGTTCTTATTGACAACTTAGAATTAACAATAACAATATTAAGTAATGAATCAACTGCTGTTGATTGAAGTTGTCAGCAACCACTGACATATGCAGGTTCTAATTTTTAATCTGGTTTAAAAATAATAAAAAATTTCATTATCTTTTCTGGAGGGTCAGGACTGTAAACACGATGTTTCAGTTGTAAAGAAGTATCTTCTTCATGGAAAACAGCATTCTTTTCTTGACACCACATTTTGTAAACATTGAAAAGGAAAAACAAGTATTTAAATGCTATTTCTTGCACAGCTTCTATCTTTCCCATTAATAGCTGTAAGATCAACTGCTCGTCCATACTGAGATGAACCAGAGCTGAACACTCACTATTATAACAGCAACAAAAAAACAAAGTTTAAATTTTCCCTCAGTAGTAGAACTCCCTCACTAGTAGAATGTAGTGAGGGAAACACTTTTATATGAATACCTAATAAATATATAAGCAACTGTCCTAAAGTAATAAATTATGTAAATTGTTTTCACGAAACTTTAGTTAGTGTATTTAGTTTTATAACTTAGTTTATTTTTGTATTATTTATTTTATATTATTATTATATTTAATATATTAAGTAATTTTTTGTGGAATTGTATTTCTAAGCCATGAAACAAAGATTTGTTTTTGAGTGTTACAAAAACTGTTATTTCTGTATTCAAAACTATTAATGATGATAATGGTAAGCAGAAAACTGTAGTATTATGTATAGAACAACTTTCAAATCTTATTTGTAAAAAGGAAGGTATTCATTTTTCACATATTAATATTTTCTTTGCTATTTTATATTATGTTTGTCCCTATGCATATAAATTTTTTACAGACTATGGATAGCTCTGAAATACCTAAAGATTTTTAAAATAATTTTGCAGTCCATTTATAGGGTATAATTAGGTATTATTCTTGATTGTCCTAATTATCTGATGATTTTGAAGTTAGTACTCAAAGTTCAAAACAGCAAAAATTCTATGATATTTGTTAAGTCTGGTTACTATTTATAATACTTGAAAAACTGTATTGTTTTGAATAAATAGTGTTTGAATGGAAATAATGTTTAAGTATCAAGCTGTTTCAGTAAAAAATTTTTTTTTAAATATTATGTAACTAAATCTGTTAATTTTTTCTACTTTTAGTTTCTTCATCTGAATATAGCAAATTGACTGGAAGAAATCAGCCTAAAATATTTTTTGACAAGTCAAGAATGCAGAAAACAAAAGCAGGTTCTACCCGTCGGTTTTTTTGCCATTTTTGTCCTAAAGGATTTAATCAAAAATCACATCTGGAAAACCACATTCGTGTTCATACTGGGGAAAGACCATTTAAATGTGAAATTTGTTACCGATGTTTCAAACGCAATGAATCATTGCAATATCATTTGCTTACTAGGCACGGAACATTTTGTTAAATTTTGATATTTCAAGTAACTATAAAATCTGATGTTTCCTCAGTAGCAGTGTTTTAAATCTTTGTATTGTACTTTGCTTTAAAGTTTAAAGCTGTTAAGAATTATACCGAAAAAATTAGTATGAAAGGAGGCATTTAAAGAATAATAAACCGAATCTTGTAATCTGAAATAAATACTGATGCATTAACAAAATAATATTCTGTAAAATATTGGTTGACTACAAGCATTTGATGATTAGAATTGTATATTTTGATATAATAGATTCGAAAAAAAACATTTTTAAATATACTGAAATGTAGTCATTTTCATTCTATTATAGAAAATGATTATGCAGATGTTTTGATTTTTAATTCCTGTGTTCTTGTAAAGAGGGAGAGCTGCGTAATCATAATTATGAAGCAACTGTTTTTCATAAAAAGTTCTAATCACCATTTGTCTGCAAAATGTTTGTTGTATGATGAAATCATATAACCCCACAAGCATTTGATGATTAGAATTTTTTATCACATAAAATTACATCAACAATAAAAAAGGCAAATATGCAGAATATAAATTTCCCATAAATCATCTTATAAACCTAATACTAAAGTGTCACCCAAAAAGATAGTTTGTATTTGCTGATAAACAGCAGTTGGTAATTATGGACATCAATTTCTATTTTTATCTTTGTGTGAAGATAATTTGAATGTGAAATTTGAAATGTGTTTTTACTTTGCATGATATTATGATTTATACACACATTGTCAACAATTTATAATTTATTACCTTCCAGTTAAAATTAATGGTGTAATGTGCTTAAAATGCATTCTTTTTACCCTTAGAATAAGTGGATTGTTTATAAAGTCTGATTATTTATTTTCTTTATAATCTTTTTTGGTTGTTTTGTTTATTTTCTTTCTTTCTTTCCTTCCCCTCTCCATAGGGATTTAATTTATATCATTAATTTTATGCATAAATATTTGGGTACTGTAACCTATTTAATATATTAAGTTGTGATAAATAATTTCAGTGTAGTATTTGTTACAGTATTGTTAAAATATGTGTATACAAAGCAGTGGGTCATTTTTTTCTTTACTCTCCTTGAAATGAAAACTAGCCTTAGCATGAGCTAATGTGGGGGGTAAGTGTTTTCAAAATGATTTTGCTTTGCTTCTGTAACTTCGAATTAATGAGATTCTACTATGCTGATATTTTACATAAATTGATATATATATTTTTAAAATTTTAGCTTCTTCATATGGATATCAAACATCAGATGGAAGAAGTCAGCTTGCAGTATTTTCTGGTGTATCAAGAATGCCAAAAACAAAAACAGTTTCTGTTCCTCGTTTTGTTTGTCATTTTTGTCCTAAAGGATTTAATCACAAAACACATCTGAAGAATCACATTCGTGTTCATACTGGAGAAAAACCATTTAAATGTGAAATCTGTTTCCGTTGTTTCAAACGGAATGAATCCTTGAAGTATCATAAGCTTACTTCACATGAGGCATATTTTAAGAGTAACTTTTAATGCCCCAGGTAGTCATTAAACTCTTGACAACTTTTTCCATAACTGTGGTTTCAAAGTTGTGTGAGATCTTGTCCTGACAAGCTCTTATGAAGGACTTCAGGATTTCAAACTTAAATTGTTGAATGGTGATTTCAAACACATATTAATTGCTTTGAGTCAAAATGCTTATAACATTGAAAGTTTATTTTATATTATAGTTGATTGATTTTTGTGGGACTGTGGAATTTTTGATATCCCTTGCATCTTTAATTTATTTTTATTTCACTGTATAAAAATAGATCTACATATATTTTTATTTTTAATTCATGCATTCATCCAGAAGTTACTTGTTTCTAATTATAGAAACAAAGCAATAAATATTTTGAATAAAATCTTCCAATTTTAGTTTATCTTTTTTGAAAAATGGTAATTAAGAATTATATAAAATCATGTTTTTCATCATTGCACTTGTGCAAAGGCCATTTCAGTCTAAATTATTAAAAGTGTGTTCTTTTACTAAAATTAATATATATCTTGCTATGATTTATGTACTAGCATTAGTATATGTACCTTGCTATGATTTACACACATATTTCTGTGCACATTAAACTGCTATTTTTTTTTAGCATAATAGTACTGTAAAATAAATCTGAAATTAGCTGCTGCACTTCTTAGAATAATACACTTTTTATTTTTACAGTAAAATCTATCTCTCTCAACCTTTTTGTATAATTTGAACGTGCATTTGAGCCTCCCCCACCTTAGCAGACATTCTTTTGGATTAATGAATAATTTTTTAATCCTTGCACCCTTGAAAAATGCACTCTTATTTATCTAATTCTGTCTAATGATAAACAAAAGTCTTAGTCTTGTATTCACTAATGAAAGGTTTGGTTTTAGTGTTTAGTAACTATTTTTTTAATATATTTCATATTATTTTTTAATATGCATCATATTGATCAGATAATTTCTACGGAATTTTTTTCAACAAAACTGTTCTCTTGCCCATATAAAATTGATTTATTTTACTGAAAAATTGTTTTATTGAATATGATGGCAATAATCAAATTTTTTTTGGGGGGGAGGGGTAAAACTACCTTTACAATCAGTGTATTATGCTCGTCATGCGAAACAAATATTGGAAATCATAGGCCAATACTTATTAAACTGATCTGTGAAGTGATCTTGAATCTTTTTTTGGTTATTGAATTATAAACCTTTTACATTTTACTTTATTTTTTGAATAAAGATGGTTTATACTTTCAGTTCATAGTTCTTAAGGTTATGAATTGAATTTTTTATTTCTATTTTTCCATCCATTGTAGGCAACATATGTGCTGTAATACTTTAATGTAATTAAATAAAGAAAGTATCTTGTTAATGAAATAATTTCATGTAAAATTCTGTTGCATTGTTTACTGTGTGAAAAATATTGTCTATAAAATCGCATGAAAACGCTAAATAAAATATATTATTTTGTAATGAGAAATCATGATTTGCCCTTTTTCATACTATTCGTAATTGATTACTGGAAAAATAAATTTTACAACATGTAAGTTTTTACAGAATTTTTATGTAATAATTTTCTAAAAATATAAAGTAGTTCACCTGCAGGTTTCATGAATTAAATATGGCCCTCTGCCCTTGAAAATTCAACTTTTAATTTATTTTTGATTGGAAGTAGTAAAGAAGGGACAAATTGAGTTTTAATATGGTGTCCATCCCCCTTAAAAACATCTATTCTGTGAAATATCAGAGAGTCCTTTTCTTTTTTGAAGTGCAAAAGTCTGCCATTGCTGTATCAGTTTTTATTAGTCTAAATATAAAACCAGCAAAGACAGTTGGGACATAATGTGCTAAGGAAAATTAAAGGAAAGTTGTAAACAAAGACCTTTCTCCAAAAAATGTGAGTAATAATCTTTTAATGCTGTTAGACTAAGAATGGCATTTAGAGCATAAACCATAAACAGAAGTTTAAAAATTTAGAAGGTTGTGGAAAGCTAATTTGGTGAAAAAATTTTCAGTGATTTTAGCAGGGGTGAAAGTATTTTGAAAGTGCATAGTAACCAGTAAAAGCAAATTTCTGTCTGTCTGTCTCTCTCTTTTTTTTAAAAAATATATATAAATAATATCTGTCGCTGAAATAGCAGTATATAGGATAAAGATTTAATGATAGTCTTGATGTTTTCATTATGCAGTATGATGGCTTTTTCCATGTGATAGTTTTTGCATTAAAGCATTGTTCCTAGTGAAAATTATCCATCCTATAGGTAAATAACCATCATGTATTTTGTTTTAACCAATCTATTAATCAGCACTTCACCAATTCATATAAAAACTAACAAGTATTATTCCCAGACACATTTATGCTTATTTTTAGTTAGAAATGTTTGATCAACATTATGTGCATGCAATATAACAGTACAGTATAAAGCTCTGTTAGTTAAGCAAAAAATAATATTTATCAGAAGTGGTGATGAATTGTAAAAAGATGGTTGTTGCTGCAGAGTTTGGAATTGCAACTTCTGCATTTTTTATAATCTTAAGTATGTGTGAAGAAAATCATTGGCATCGTGAAACAGATGATAATGATTTTGTATCCTTATATATACGAACATTGGAAGAAACATTGCTTTTGTAGTTCAAAGATTTAAAGTCTGAAATCATTGAACATAGTATGTTTGAATGAAATAAATCAGTCAAAAAATCAACATATTTATTTTTGGTGAGAAAGTTAGAACTTGTACATCTGAATTTTAATACTTCACTTCAGTGCTAGCAGATAAATTAGCAGGTTAATAGATCATTTTGATATCATTTGCCATCAGCTGAATGGTTAGTCTGATTTGACTTAAACAAGTGTTGTTTCTTCATATTCATGAGTGGACAACTTAATTTTTAATATTCTTCCTCAGTATTCAGAGCGGACAACCCAGTAGAAGCTAGTCTTTGCAAAAGATGATACATGAGCTTGTTAATGAGATTGTTTTTCTTTCATCCAAATGATGCCAGGGAAGTTATGCATCTACAAGTGAAAAATATAGAAGGGGAAAAACTAGTAAACGTACATGACCATTCTTGCTTAAAATAAGCTCTCATTGCTAAATGTATATCAACTGTATTATAAATAAATCTTATGTGTTTTAGATGGGTTATATAAGTATCTGCAGATTGCTTACGTAGTAAAAGCACCTGATTAATTTCTGCATTCGAAACTGAAATTGAGAGAATGAGGCTAAGAAATGAAGAAACAGAAAAGGTATTTTATCATGAAGTACTGCTTCTCAGCTGCAGCTTCTTTGCCAGTATAAAAGCTTATTGTGAAACATGTATAATAAAATAATCTTAAGCAATGTGGAGATGCACTTTGGATTTTATACATGCTGCATGGAATTCAAAAAAGTTAACTGAATCGGGAATTCTATCCAGAATGCAGTAAAATAAATTGTGATCTGGTGCCAGAGTCTGAGGATAAGTTTTTTGTTGAGATGTGGAATCAAACTAAATTTGGAAAATTTTTTCATTACAAATAAAAAGTAAAAATATTACTTGCATATTGTGATGTCGAAATTTTTGTTGAAGTGTAACTGCCAGAAAATGCAGTAATAGGAATGAAAGAAACTTTTTATGAGGGGGGGGGAGACTCATCTCATCTGCTAATTAGTAATGATTCAAAAGGTAAGGACTACACAAATAATATGTTGTGTCCCAAAAGCTTTTTTTTGCCCTCCCCCCCCAACACACACAAAAGGAGTGATAAATTTAATTGTCAGAAGTATAAAATGCTTGTTTTCAGACATTTCATTCCTCTTGAGAAATATAGAAAGTTTTTTAAAAAGGAAGTAAATATGTTCTTTACTCCAAATCCTTTTCTAAATTCAGTGCAAAGTTTTATCCATATTTTAGGAAATTTAAATTTTACCGTAGCTTTCTTATGACTTTATTTAAGAGTCAATTTTTTTATGTATTCTGTAAGAAAAAAGTTAAATCCTTTTTTTTATATTTCCATTGTGTTTTCTAATTTTAATTAGTTTGTTATAAACATTATTTTCTGTGAGATTTTTTTTTATTAGGCTTTTCATGTTAAAAAGAGGTTATGGTTCCCCCACACCCACATACATAATTTTCTGTTTGATTTCATCTTGTTCAGTGAATTTTGACATTATTTTTTATAATTTATTAAATTCTATTTTTGAATTTTATATATCAATTTGTTACATGTCCTATACTTACATCAAGTTTTAGTAATGGTATATGTTCACGTGTTTTACACCTATGAAATAAACTTTATTAATTTATTTATTTTAATAATTATTTACCATATTGGGAAGTATTAAAAATGTTATGTATATGTGGAAGTTTAAAAATATTGTTTAGCAAAAGCATTGCAGCTGGTGTATTGTGTTGGATTATGCATGCCTTCCACTAAGATTGTTTATTTAATCATATAAATAAATACAGTAGAGCTCCAATTATCCGAATCGGTTGGGATGGGACCCCATTCGGATAATTGGATTTTTTCTGAAGAAAGGGTCTTTGTATACTTTAATTAATTAGTGTATGTTGAAAATGGGAGAAAAAATATTTTTTTTAAAGGTGGTTATAATTAATTAAAATGAAAAGGTAACACTTTTATGTACATGTTATGTAGCGTACTGAACAGTAATTACAAGTGCTGAAACATCTCGCTCAAAGTAAGCTGTTTGACTGCTTCATCCATTTTCAGGCAGCCAAGTCGCATATCTTCTTGACAGTTAGAAGTTGCATGTGGCCACACTCTTAACTTTTTTAGCCTTAATGTTTGAAAACGATTCGGATAGTCACAGTTTGGATAATTGATTTGCACTGTATATATAAAATATTCATTTTCCATTAATGGGATCTGTGATGTTAATGTAGATATTAATTGAGATTAAAATCTAATTAAATGTGCATGAAAGAAACATAAAATTAAATGAAAAAATTAGCGCAGATTTAATATAAAATTATTTTGAAGGTGACTAGCAGGGTTCTGTCTTCATTAGAAGCAAAAATATTTTGTTTATGAAGAAGAGGACCTATTGTTTTCAAAAGTGGTTGTAGAGTTTCATTTAAAATCTCCACCAATCCTAAAATTTTAATTTTCATTCAGTTGTGCAAAATTAAATTTTCTTATATTTCATGGCTAAGAAATGTATTAGTTTTAAGCCTTGATTGATCTCTTTGAAAAGTTAAATCCCAGATTAATTATTCAGCTGGGAAGTGCATTAAATTAGAATTAGATTATGTGTTTGTTTAACTTAATTTCAGAAAGAAAATAATAGTGACTTTTATAGCTTGCTATATAAACTTATGTTGACTGCAAATTTATGAACTAGACATCAAATTTAAAATTTAGTTTTGAAAGTTTCTTTCAGAATAAGCTAAAATAAATTTGGATTTTTTTTCTTTGTTTTATATTACTTGAGCATTCCACTAAAGATATCTGTGTAAGTTCTAGTCTTGTTTTGAGCATGAGCATACACAGAATAAGAGAATCCAGAGGTATTATACTTCATATTTTGTATTACCAACCTCTGTATTGTCAACCCAGACTTCTGATTTGACAGATTTTAAGTACAGTACAAAGTCAAAAATCCCCATTTCCAGTATCCAGAATGACTTAATATGTAAATCTTCTAACTGCCAGCACATTTTTTTTTCCCCCTTAAAAAAATTTTTACAAAAAAAAAAAAAAAAAAAAAAAAAAAGAGAGAGAGAGAGAGAAAATGCAAATGCAGTGTAAAAGCAGCAGTTTTTCTCTTCATTAACTGAAATTCCTGTTTCAGACACCTACTGATTAGAAAGTCAAAGTATGGCCAATGGCAATACACTTATTGACATTGCCAGAACCAGGGCCCTTAAATAGTTCTGCTGGGGGTTTAATGGTTTTTAGTCACACAAGCCTCAAGACACATTTGTTTGAAGTGGAATATAATGTTCATACTAGTTTAATTTATTGATGTAGCGGTGAGAAAGGGAAAGAATTAGATTCCAAAGAACTTGCATTCATATAATATAGGAAATTGTGCTTTTCCTTAATTTTCTCGTATGATCTAGCTTATTACTTTTTGCAGACTATTATTATTACAGTTATTTTGACAAAATTAGAATTTTATTTTTCGATTATGTCAAAAAGAGTTTCTTGTGAAACTTTAGCAAAATCTGCAAAACAAAAGCATTTTTGGCACTTGCTTCCATAGCGACTTTGGCAAGAGCAAATAGCTTTAAATGCATGTGACTTCAAAATTCAGGCATGTGACTTCAAAATTAAGCAAAACAATGGCCATAAAAAACAAAATTTTCCAATGAATAAAATTTATGGGGAAACGCTAAATGTAAGTGATATCACAGAAGATTTCCATTGCAATAACAGTACCATTATCAGCAATGAACTAACAAGTGGTAAAATCTCTATTTTGGTGTTAAATGAAGAAAATATTGCTACGGAGAGTGAAGAAAGTGACTAAGAGATTTTTGTGAATGAGAAGATTTCATTTGGCAGTTTAGTGGGAATTCTGAATACGACAATTATAGGGCCTTGAACAGAGGAACTTTGAACAAGATATGTCAATCTATAAAATTAAAGAGAAAGCATTAACACAAAGAAGAAACAGTTTAAACAAATTGAAAGAAATGTTTAGTGAAGCATATTCTGAGTTTTTTTTTCTTTTTTGTAAGTTTTGATTCTTTTAAGATCGTAAATGCTTCACTTTTTCATAAACAAATATTTCACATTTTTAATTTTATAATTTCTACATGCCATTTTACTAGATTTAAACTTATCTGAAATCTAGAAAATTCCAAAACCCCGAAGAATCGAGATCTCAAACTTTGTATTGTATCTACATTTTTAAAAAGCATTACAATTATATATGTCTGTGATTTCTTAGGAATCTGAACTTGAGCCAATAATAGAATTGACAGCATGTAATAAATTTCATATAACCTTTGATAACCTGCTTTTGTTGTGTGATTTTGATATGTAATTCACAAATAATTACAGAATGTAATTAACATTAATTTTTTCTAGGAGTTTTTGAAAAGGATATTTAAATTGTATTGCGAATGTGGGTATGTTTGCATTTAGATATGGAATATTATAATCATTGCAGTTCTGTAGCTAAAACTGTGCAAGACTTATTTTGACTATTCATATGTGTTTATGTATAATTTATACTATTCATATGTATTAAAATCAAATACAGTTATTTGATAATTCTTAGTCTGTATATATATAATGAATATGATCTTGAAATATTTTTCTTAAGGAAAGTTTCTAAGTTTCTTTTTTTTTTCCCTGGCTGTCTTATGATTTGTGTAGTGGTTTCCTGATTTTGTATCACTTTAATAATGTATCTTTTAAATTTGAATCACATCTGTATAAATTTTTATGAGCATGATTTATACTTTCATTTTTGAATAGTGATTGCTATTATTTTGAGATTTTCCCTTACCTTTTGGCATATGTTCCAGGAAGAAGTGCTGGATATTCCAGAAGACTGATTGGTTTATATCCTGAAGTTGACTTATCAAGAAATCAACTTGAAACTGCTTCAGCATTGAAGCGGCTTATTTGCAAATTCTGCTCAAAAAGATGTAACCAGAAAATTGATCTAGAACGCCATCTTCGATCACATACTGGGGAAAAGCCATTTAAATGCTCAAGTTGTTCCCGATGTTTTTCACGTAATGAATCTTTAAAGTATCATGTGATGAGGTATCATGTAGCAGGTGTCCGCAAGTCATTACCATAGAACTTTTTTTCTGTACTTTATTTTCTGTTTGTAATTCTTATATAAACTTAGGTGTGAAAACACTGGGACTGATCAGATGGTGGCTTATATGCCACCAGCAATAATCTTGGGCATTAACCTAATTTCATGCTGTGTTCACATTTAAGATCTATGGACACCTATTTTCATGTGCCATGGTGTTTGTTTAGAATTCTCAAGTTCACACTGTACATTTGCTATTGTTATCTTTGAATACCTACCTAAGAGCATTCCCTGCCCCCAATCCTTCTGGCCTTTCACTCTCCGTAGGTTATAATTTAAACACATAAAATGAAGCTATCAAACATACACTAAAGCACAGTTGTTACTACGCTGTTGGCCATCCAGAATGCAGCACCATGGAGAACGAGTGATATGAAAGTCATATTCTCTGGATAAATAATGTAAGATTCACCGGTGAATTGATTAAAATTACAGCCTCATTCATCTTTTTGCATATAAAAGAAATTAGTATTTACTTCAGGAATGAGCTGGCAGTAACTGTTGTAACATACCTCAGCATCGAAAGAAAGATGCAGGGGATGTATTTTGGTTGGGCTGCTCATTGATCATATTCCATGGACAACATATTAAGAGAAAGGGTAAGCCAAGGCAACTCTACAAACTTGTGGGAACTAAATAGTGGAATCTTGCATGCCATGTGCAATTGCATATATTGTCCTGCTGAAACTTGGACATAGGCAGGTCTTAAAGATCAGACAAGGTCAGCAGGCTCAACTTCAGAAGTGTAGCAGTAAATATTGAATGTACAAGTAATACATATAATATGTATTGCATAGGTACTGAATAAAATTGAATGCACTCCAAACAGTAACTTCAGCTGGCAGAATGGTATGATGATGCATAATTCAGGACTCAAGATGTTTGTCTCCAGGTACTGTCAGGTTTAGAGACTTATGGTGTTTTAGGTAGAATCAAGATTGTTCTGAAAAAACATTATTGGTTCATTTAAATGTCTGTGTCCTGGATTCAATGCACCATTGTAGCTGTATTTGCCAATGATCTAGAGCAGCGATTGTTAACTGGTATGCGTACCACAGGTGGTTACACAATAAAAAAATAAGTTGTATGCAAAAAGAAGCAAAGTATTTTAAATATTAAATTAATAAATTAAGTATCCCCAACATCCTATTTTTTCTCTAACACTCGTAAATGTATGCGATTTGAGCTTTCTTCAAGGTCAACAGCCTCTCATAGACTTTAAACAAAATAATTTGTTTTTCTTTTCACAAATATTCTTTTAGCTGTAGAGATATCAAACTTTGTCATAAGTGATGTTTGAAAAGGAGTAATAGAAATGGATGTTGTATTTAATCAGAAATGAAAAAAAGTTCCGGTAAAAATATAATAGCATCTCATTGATTCTTTTAGTGTGGATCGATTTACTAGTATGTCTACACTTTATGTTGCCATCATTTCTGGGCTCATATTGCTCTATTTTCAATTAGAATCTTTTTTTTTTTACGTTGCTTTGCGATCTCTTTACAGCAGGTATTTTGTCGTTTTGTTGCTTTGTATTCCTTATTTTCCTACGCAATTTGATAGTATCGTCATTTGTTTTTGAAGAGCTCATAATATATTGTGCATTTAAACATTTGTGAAAAAATTAAAAAACAAACCTAGATTTTCAAAATGAAAAAATGGCTAGGATTGACTAAGCGGAAAAGTGAGGATTCACAGGTGATAATCCAGGACAATCTACTACCACTAAGAATATTTAAAAGAAAAGAAAATGTGTTTGTAGAAAATATAATGAAAGCTATTTATCATTTGAGTTTACTTGGAATGGAGATGAAATGAATTCTCAGTCTCAGTATGTTATTTGGGGTGAACTACTATCCAATCAAAGTATGAAACCATCGTTTCTTAAAAGACATCTTGAATGTAAGCATGCCCATTTAAAGGATAAATCTGAAGAATATTTTAAGAGGAAATTATCGGAGTTAAAAAATAGTAAGCAAATAATGAAAGGTTTTTTTACTTCAAGTGAAAAAGCTTTCGAAACTAATTACCTAGTAAGGCTAAGAATTGCCAAGACTGGGCAGGCTCACACTATTGGAGAAAAACTTATATCACTAGTGGCTAAAGATATTGTTTTAACAATATTCAATGAAAAAATGGTTAATAAACTTAATAATATTCCTTTACAAGTCTATGAATTCATGGAATGGCAGATTCTATAAAAGAGACACTTATTCAAAAAATGAAACACAGCGACTATTTCGTATTGCAATTGGATGAAAGTACTAATGTAACAAAAAGAAGATTTTCGAATTGCCAAAGGCTATTTATTTTGTAAATCTCTTCATGATAGAGTAACTGCAGATAAAATTTTCAAAGTAATTGACAATTTTATGTCTGAGAATGATACTTCTTGGAATAAGTGTGAATTGGAGCTTGGACTTTAACATGAAATTTCTTGGGCTTTATTTCTCCAATAAAGTAACATCTGAAACTAAATTTTGTCATTGCTCCATTCAACCTGAAGCTTTAGTGGTCAAAACAACCCCTGAAAACCTAAAAATCATTTTGAATCATGCTTTGGAAACCATTAGTTTTATTAAAAAATGAGCTTTAAATTCAAGAAAATTTACAGTTTTATGCAGAGAGATGGGCAATGTACATAAAACCTTTTTTTTTTTTTTTTTTTCATTCCAAAGTAAGGTGGTTATAAAAAGTTTTAAGTTGTCTTTTCGAAGTTTGATAAAAAATTCAAAATTTTTTCTGTCGTTCAAAATTTGAATTGCAAAATTGTTTATTTAGCCAGTTATGGTTGGCGTGTTTAGCATATTTAGCTAATATTTGGGGAAAGTTAAATTAATTAAATTTAGAGTTACAAGGACAAAGTGTTAATTTGTGTACTATTTGAGATAAAATAAATGCAATAATAAAAAACTCGAGCTAATAAGCAAAGAATTGGATAATAATATTTTGAGCTTTTTACCGCTTTCAGAAAGTTTTCTAACAAAATAATTTGAAAGTAAAAGATTTAGCATCCAACATTAAAAATCATTGTTTTTCATTGATAATTTCATGGTGTATTTCTGTAAAGAGTATGAAAAAGATAATTGAATTATAAACCCATTTTTTGCGAATGTAACTGAAATTTTATCTCATGAAGAAAAAGAACAATTGCTAGAAATTTTCTGTGATTGAGCTCTAACTGCAAATTTAAAAAAAAAAAAAAAAAAAAAAAAAAAATGCACCTGTTAACTTTTGAATGAACTAAAGAAACAAATTTAAAGGCATTTCAAATAAAGCTGTTAAATTTTTTTGTTGCCTTTTTTGCATGTGAACAAGGATTTCCTTTTTTGTTATATTTGAAAAATAAATACAGAATAAAATTAAAGGTGAATCCTAATTTATGGTAAACTACGTAAAATAAGACGAGACATATAGAAATTGATGTCTCTTAAACAGGCCCAAATTTCACATTAAATTTTAGAATTATTGTAACTTAAATTTTGATAATTAATATGGTAACCAATTTTTAAACTAATAAGTTTTTTTATTTGTGCATATTGAATACAGGTAACCAATAGATTGTGCAAATGACGAAATATATTAAAAAATATTTCTATTGAGAAATTGGAAAATAATTATTGTAAATTGCATTGGTGGTACTAAAGTTTTTCAGTTTTTGTTTAGATGATTCACGTCAGTCAAAAGGTTGAAAACCCGCTGATCTAGAGTTAGTGGTAATAGTGTCAATAGACACCTGAGATTCCTCTCCTCTACAGATAACTTCAATTATCATTTCTCATTTCTCATCACATCTAGTCTTTCTGTGGGTCACTCAGTCACCCAGTTTTTAATTTAGTCTTTACTAATGAAAATGTTTTTTAAGAATAAATTAAATTTATTGAATTAATGAAATTTAAATTGTGCAATTTTTATCCTCCCCCATTGTGATTTTTAGCATGTTTTTTCTTATAAAATTTTATTTGATCTGTGTTGTCATGATCAGTTGTAGACATTTGCTAGAAAATTTAATCAATGGTATCTGTAAATATTAGCATTTAATTTTGTTTATCAATATATGTCACACTGGGGAAACGGTGTAGCACCAGGGTGCCTGGGTCAAGGACCCTACTCCTTGTAGAACAGATATGTTATTTTGAATACTGTCATGAGTGAGTAGTATATATTTAGAATTTTTTTATATATATAATTAAATCATGTTTTTTAACATTTTTTTAAAGTTATAAGAATAAGATAAGAGATAAATTTATAAAAAGACTAAAGTGTGGGTCAAGTTTCAATACACCTGAATTGCTATCTGGGAAAGCCGAAAAAGGAGGAATGAGCTGGCTATAGCCTGATGCAGAAAAAACATTTATAACATACATATAAAATAATAGGCTAAGTAGTGCGAGTCTCTTGGTGCACTTGTAATAATTAAACCTTAAATCTACAACACAATATTAAGAGGTACATAGCAGATTAAATAAGTTATACAATATAGGTACTTAGTATGGCCATAGGCCGTTTACGATTATTTGGGTCACTAAAGTCGTAATCGTAAATCCTTATAACTGGGTTGTTGATACAGTAGAAGTCTAGAAATCTGCAGAGTTTGGGACCAGAGGTTGTGCGGATTTCAGGACAGAAAAGATAAAACATAATATTCAGACTCACAGTGCAAAATAAATAAGGTGTATTAGATACATTTAATTAAATTATTATATACATTATTGCAATAATTTATTATATGCATTAAATTATTATTGCATATATAAATTGATTATATTATTCACTGTATTATATGTACACAGCACCCAGGTTTACTGATTTCGCCTCATGCAAAGATTTCCGATTTCGGATTCTGGTGTTAGAATCACTGTTTCTGTAAAATTTCAACAGCTTTTCTTTATTTTTCTGTATACATACACAATCGCATGGCAATTCCATATGATTCTGCTATAAACTGAGGAGTGGAACCTGCCTCCATCTTTTGCAGAATTTGCGCTTTTTGCATTACCATCATTGCAACGTGTTTATGTTTTTCAATGTTGCAAGCAGTAAAATCATGAGTGCATTTCTTATCTGTCATTGTATTAAAAAGGGCTGAAATTTAAAATATTCTTAATTTATCCACAAAATATCTGGATTAAAAAAAGGCAGCACTAAATAATCTCGTGAAATAACAAAGCTCAGAAAATACATCAACATGAATCGTAAACTTGACAGAAGAGTTGAGTGAATCATCTGCTTTTTTACCTCGATGCAGATTAGAGGGGAAAAAACTTTTATTATGATGTCAATAATTTGGTATTTCTGTTATGACTCATTATTAGGTAAGTATATTTTCTTCGATATTTCGTACTCAGTGTTGTGGTTTCCGGAACCTATAAACTGAATGTTTATATTTTGAGAGGCAACACGGATTTCAGGAGTTGGCAGATTTCAGGTCGGTGGTGTTTCGGTATTTGACTGTATTAACAAGATTAGCATAGAAGTACCAGGCGAGCCGGCAGGGTGAATTGATAATCTGCCTAGGATACAATTTTGTGCCTGTTGCAATTTTTTTCTGTAAGATTTCCATGAATACCGGGCAGTATGGAACACAATATGGTTTTATCAATATATGGAACATTACTAATTTATATATATACATATTGCATAAATTGTTAATTTTCATCTTGTTTTAAAAGTATTTTGATAAAGCTTTCCTTCTCTACTCAGGATTTTCTTTTAAAAAATTAACCAAAGATGATAAAATTTAGAGTACATAGTTAAATATTATTTTACAACCAAATTATATTATAAATGTTTGAATAATATGAACCTTGCATTATAAGCAAATTTGTGTCTTTTTTTTTTTTTTTTTTTTTTTTTTTTTTTTTTAATGCTGGTGCTGTGTAATATGGGAACTCCTGGTTTTTTATATTTTGAAGTTGGTAGCTATGCAGATGTATACTGACATAGTTTGTTATGAAGTATATCATTCATGCTAGAGTTTTTGATAGTTGCATCCATCATTGTCGTGTGCACAGCATACTTTTTTTGCTTGGAGATATATAGTGAAACTGGTGCAATTAGCTGTTGTCAGTCAGTCCATCTCTTGTACATTCACCTATTCTATATTAAACAAATTGTTTAATCTGCTATGCACACAAGTGTGCAGTCTTATAAGCCCAGATTTGTCCTGTATTGAACTCAGAAATTTAAATGCATAATTCCTGTTTTGTGTTTTCAAGACAGTTAGTAAATTAACAGTGGGAAGATACACCATTGCTGTCTCCAAACAGCCTACTGTTCTCTCTTTAATAAGGCTTTTTGTTGATGTTCCAGAGAGCGTCATACAAATTTCAAGCTTACTTGATGCTTCCTTCATAGCGTTGCATTTTAGTTGGCCAGCAGTGCATTATGTTCACATACATTATCGCGTTTTCGATTTTAAGAAAAACATTCACAAGCTTAAGGTTATGTGGAATATTTTGCCATTTCAGTTTATATTCCTTTCATATCAAGTAACTATGTTTTGAATTTTTTTTACATTTTATGTGTGCAAATGTATAAAAGTTTGATGATCTTTACTTACTGAGTAAAATAAAACATGTGCATATGTTTTTAAAAGAATATCTGATATTTATTCATTATGTGTCTAATATTAAGCCTGTATTTGAGTTAAATATGCAGTAATAAAAAATCATATACTTTACCTCATAAGTAGTGCATTTT